TTGCCATGCCTAGTTATTTTTTACTTATATACTATTTAATTGTCTTATCTCTAGTTTATGTGAGATTTGAATTTTTTCCAATATGACGGTTAAAATTTTTTCACTGTCATAATTAAATATTTTAAAGTCTTTACAGTTTTTTTTTTTGCCTGTAAATTTGATTTAAGGTTGCTCATGTTCAAAAAAAATGTTATATAGACAAATGATGTTTGTTTGTTACCTAAATTATATTTTGTTATTTGTTTTACCCAATCAAGAATTAGTCAATTTTAATATTTAAATATTTGATATAAACACTTTTAATGTGCACAAAACTAAGTTCATAACTCAAGTATATCAAATTAATTTGTACTCTCTTTTGTGTGTGAAATTCATATTATAATCTCAACCAATTATATTTGTTCTTACTTATACACCCTTGTTTCTCATGTTTTGTTTTCAATAGGAAGTATACCAATTTCAATAGGTTATTTGAAAGAATAAACACAAAGAAATACTCTGTGGCATATCATTAGATTTAAAATAAAAAATTAAAAAAAATCGTGTATATCGTTGGTGCTAATCTCAATGTTACCCGTGCATCGAAAAATCTCGCATATAGGTGAGGTAAGTGCATAGTGGTTGACATGCGTGTATAATTGCTACAAATTTATCTAAACTTCACTCTTACCATTGATGGGGACAAGCTCCAAAGTCTCTTCATCTACCTTATCACTCGGGTTCTTTTCTGAAACCTCAGAAGGAAGCAGTTCCTCGTATTGACCTGTCTTAGGGACAAGAAAAACCAAAGCAAGAATAGCAAACCTAAGTATATCCCTTATAAGAACAGCCAACCAAAGGTTTGTAAAGTCAGTCCTAGTGATGTGGAGGAGGCGAAGAAGCATCCCTCCACCCCATCTGGATAATAGGGCACCAATGCTATCAATGCACATTAACAGAGCGAAAAATGTGCCCTCAATGCCTAAAGGGCACAATTGTGTGCTCAGTACCATCATGGGCATCCATCTGATTTTGCCTGTGATTCTTGTAGAACTTTCTTCGATCACAACAAAGAAGTAATCAGGGATTCCAATAACCAAATTCCAACGAAGGATGAAGATCAGGTCCAGCAAACCAGATATGCCGTATAGGAGTTGTGCATAGAACATTAGGTCTCTGAATCCGTAGTCTTTCAGAGCCTTGTGGTAGATTAGAACCCCTATTAATGAAGCCACTGCACCAATTGCATAGATCACCCCTACAAACTCCTGCAAATAGAGGAAGAAAACTAACTTACGGTGTGCTGAGAAAACCAAGTTATAAAGTCAACAAACTACCTATTGTTAGAGCATGACAATTTGTGATCAATAAGTCTTTATATTATTAGTGCATGGATTACTTACACTGAGAATATTGCTCTCTTTTATTTACTTGCAAACAAAACATGAGGGGTACCTGAGAAAATGCAGGGCCAGCTTTTGAATCTGTGTACCAGTAAAAATGGCCTTCGTGAGTTGTTACATTCAGAGTCAGGGCAAGGAACATGTAGAGAGAAGGCTTCCACCCTTGAGGATACGACATTGTTCGGTACATGCCTCTAATCGTCGTTCCTACACTCTCTAACACCCCCTGTGATATATTTTGTTAAGTTATATCATCTAGCTAACAAACATACAGAGTTTACGTCTATCATAATAGGGAAATTAGTAGTTTTTGTCAGACATTTCTAAAATTTCCTGCGATATAAGATTAGTCACAGTTAGTGCTAATTCTTTTTGGCTATTAAACCTTTAAAATATGTAACTTCAAAATACATAGCCATTAGCATACTTAAAAAGACAAAGATGGAACGTGTAAAGAGAAGACAAAGCCACAAAAATAATAGACCAAAGTATGAAAAAGTACACAAGGAAAATATAGAAGCATATGGATGCATAAAATGATTAAATTTTAAGCTTAATCTAGGGTGGCCAAGAACCTTAGCACCCACCTGGATCCATTAGTCTTTAATTTGATGAATCCAAACAAATGAATTTGAGATACTTTTGAACCTAACGATGATTATAATTTTTTTAAAAGGATCAAGTAGTGTAATTAGATTGTCCAACAAAAGCAACCAACATTACAGAACAAATAAGTTCAAATCCAGCATATTAAAAATTTAGTCTCGTAGTAGTCAAGTATCAATCCTAGAATATTGATTGTTTTGTAAAGATACAAAAGGAACATGACAGCCAAACCACACCCGCCAATGACAAAGACATATATATATACACAACAACCACACTCGATAGATTGAAAATTTGTTAGCTAGAACTTTGAAAAGATAAATTGAGCATAAAGTCAACAAAAGGGGCCAAAAAGGACAAAGTTTTCTAACCTGCTTCTTTTCGATATGCAAGTCATTTGTTCTGTTCTCATAAATCACAAAACCCAGTACAATTGTCAAAGCTGGAGAAAGCGCCATAAGACCCAGGGACCCCTACGAATACAAAATAAACATATCTAATCCAAATCCATAATTATGCAATTGAAAACAAAAGGTTAATAATACTCTCTTTTCAATGCATTCAAGTTCACTGATATTCACAAAATCTAACACTAAATTGGAAATAAAAGTTAAGTAAATACAGTATGTTTTAACTAATGGGTAATTCACTTGCTACAAAATCCAAAAATGTGTGATTCACTTGCAATAAATACAATATAGCTGAGGTCTGTTTGAGTCAGATTTTTTTTTCGACCTAGTGTGTTTGGATTCACATTAGTGATTCATGTTTTAACAACTTTTTCCGTTAAAACGTATCAAAATTCTCTAATCCACGTTTGAGGTTTGTGGAAGAAAATTCAAATACATACTTATTTTTTCTTAAAAGTAAAAAATGGGCAAAAAAACACTTTTTATAAAATCTCTAAAAAGTTAAGCTACTTATTCTTATAGAGAAAATTTTGAAAACAACTAGTTTTTTATTAAACAAGTGAAATGAGTTTTTTTTTTTATTGCTTAAGTAGAGCTTATTTATATAATCTCCTCTTTGAATCTTGATCAGAACAAAAATATTATATTTTTAATTTTTTTACTAGATTTTATATTTGGTGTTTCATGAACTTCTCATTAAATAATTATAAAATATATTAGTTTATTTTTAAATCATAATTATTTTTTGTATTGTCTTAAACTATTTTAAATTATTTTTTAAAAATTTAAAATAATATTATTTTAAATTTCTATTACATAAAATGCAACAATGTTATTAAAATGAGTAAAAATATAGTTAAATGAAAACTGATATTTTAAATTATTTATAACTTTAATTTTTTAAATTTAATTTAGAGTTCAAATTACTTTTATTTTTTAAGTTTATAGTTATGTTTTTAAACTTTTTAAGTATAATAATATATTTATTAAATACTTTTAATCTAAATTGACATTATTGAATTATAATTAAATAATTAATTTATCGTCTAAAAAATTATTAGCCAATATTGCTGAAGTTTTTAGATATTTTATCTGAAAAATTAATCCTTATATTTATTTAATTAACTTTACACACAAAAATATTTTATTTAAATTTATTTTTATTAGTTAAAATATTTTTGAAATTTTAAGTTTTTAACACATCTGTCTTGTAAAATAAAAAATCATTACTATAATGAATAAATTATAACATAGTTACATAAAATCTTGATATTTTAAAATATTTATAATTTTTATTCTTCAAATTTAATGCATATTTTCTCAGTTTTTTTAAATTATTAATTTATAGTTAAGATTTTTAATTCTTAAAATAATTTTAAAATAAATTGAATTCTTTAAATTGTATTATTAATTTATTTATAAGAATAAATTTAGTTCACACTTTTTAGAATATAATTTAAATATTTTTAATATATATATATATATATACCGACATAGTAAATTATATTTTCAAAAAATTATCTTCTAAAAACTGTTTTTAACAATAATATAGAAGATTTTAAATATTTATAATTTATAATTAACTAATATTAATTTATACTTATTATCTAATTAATATAAGTCATAAATTATTTTTTTTTACCAAACAATTTTTAGCTTGAAACGAATTTAAAAACTAATAAAAATAAAATTTAACAAACAACTTATTTTTTTATTTAATTCTTATTTTTAACTTAAACTTTTAAGTTCTAAGTAACTTTTAAGTTTAAAATAATTTGGGTCAAACATAATAACATAAAATTTTTACACATATTTAAAATAATAATAAATATACATATTTTTTAATACTTTTTTACCAAAATGGTCAAACTCTTTTAATAAATAAGCTAAATTAAAATGTAAGAACATGGTGACACTTTTTCAATTGTAATAAATTTGAAACTGAGGGAGTAACATTAAATTTGGATAACATAAAACAATACAAAATATGTAAAAATTAAATTAAATTAAATTAAAAGAATTCAACTTTGATACGGAAAGATTTTATACTATTAATTAATCATAAACATTTGCATACATCACTTTTAAAATAATTGCTAAAAAAAAAAATTTATATTACATCTGAGTCCATAATTAGATAAACAGTGTGTATGATCCAATTAAATCCAAACCCTAAACCATAGAACCGTTGGAAATCTCGAGAATCAATCACGAAAAAAGTAAAAAATCACAAAATTCTTGAAATCTTTCGGTTCCCGTCTCGTACCTGGGGTCCAAGACGGTGCACGAAGAACCCGCTGGCGAGGAATCCGACGAGCGCGCCGACGCCGGAGCAGAACCCGCAGAGGGTCTGCAAGTCGGGCGCGAGCTCCCTGGCCTCGATGCTGTTCCTGGCGATGCAGGCGTCGATGGTGACGTCAGCGATGGCGAGCGACGCCGACACGCCGATGAAGCAGGCGAGGGCGGCGGCGGCGGTGAGGGTCCCGGCGAGCGCGAGGGCGGCGGCGGAGAGCGCGCCGAGGATGCCGGCGAGGACGAAGTAGGGGCGGCGGTGGTAGCCGCGGAGGGGGAAGGCGTCGGTGAGGATCCCCCAGAGGGGTTTGAGGATCCACGGGATGAAGCAGAGCGCGACGTAGAGCTGCACGGTGGAGGGCTGCAGCTTCTGCACGTCTTTCCAGTAGTAGTCCGCGGCCACCTTCAAGAGCGACCCCGAGAACCCCTGCCCCACTCCGTACACTATGAACACGCCCATTACGAAGCTTCGGCTTAGCCTCCTTGATAGCATTTTCACCCATTCCGCTCCCTCCGTTACCACACCCAACGCCTTTCTTTTCGTGCCGTTCTCGCCCATTCTCTGATGCCCATGCGCCGTTGAACATGGGGTCAAAGTTATGTAACATGTTCGCTTTCTTTTTGTAATAATCAATTATTAATCGAGTTGCCTTACGAGGGTAGGTACCTTTCGTACTTTTGGATTAATTAATTGATATGATTGGGAAATTCTAAACCGTCTAGTTTAAAGAAAGTTACCGGTTGTTGCACCTAAATATCCAATCTTTGCTCATCTTCGTATTTGACATGATGAGGTTATGATGTTTGTTCTGGTATCACTAGATGGCCCTGTAATTGCACCATGAAAGGAGTAGCAGCAGAGCCCTTATGGTACCATCGTGATGACAAATGAAGTAGTATTAAAAGCAATATGGCAATAGAGCAATATTGATACTGATTTGCGTGGGTCACTTGTTATTTTAAGTTGTACGCCAACATTTTCACATCAGATCGATCCAATTAACAACTTTTTTGCACATAAGCTTTAAAGTCATTCATTTCTTAAATTTAGATAAAATTGTAAAATAATCCATATAAAATTATAAATTATTAATTTCAAATCTCAAAGCATGCTCAAATCTTTCAAAGAAGCAAGATTGGATCCGTTACTGTGTCACACACAACATATAAAGAATCTTTTCCTCAAGATCTGGAAGCGTTTTTCTCTTAATTTCAAAATGAAACGCACCAACATGTGGATGGTTTTCATGTGTTTGATGTTTACCTTCTTCGCTCATATTTAATCACTCTCCATGAGGGTAAACAACATTGAGTGAGCCTATGAGTACATGTTTTACGATGACGACACCATTTCTAACAACTTTGTTATTATTCTTATTGTAAGTCCGTTGTTATCATTAGAGTCATCGCATCTAAGATATTGTCTTCTTTAGCGCTTGTTGGGCTATCAAAGTTTTGTCCTTTAAAATGCTCCTCAGTGGATTAAGAAGGGAGAGTGTTTATAAATTACTCTTAGTCTCGACTTCTAAGTGATGTAAGACTTTTAGGTATACCGAAACAAGTCTCCTAGTTGATGTTAAGGGGCAAGAGTGACCTAGACCCTCCTTCTAGCGCCAATGTTCCTACGTAAGTTTGTTGTCATCGTTAGGATCATCGCATCTGAGGTATTGTCCGCTTTGGCGTTCGTTTGATCATCACGATTTTATCCTTTTAAAATGCGCCTCAATGGATTAAGGAGTGAGTGTGTTTATAAACTACTCTTAGCCTCAATTCCTAAGCGATGTGGGACTTTTAGGGATATCGGAACAAGCCCCCAAGTTGATGCTAAGGGACAAGAGTGGCCTAGGCCCTCCTTCTAGCACCAATGGTTTAGTGCCAACCTTCCTTGGTAAGATTGTCGGGTCTCGTTAGCTTGGTGATTCGTTGCTTCGATGGGGGAAGCACCTGCAAAAAAGACTTTGATGCTTAAGTTAGTTTTTTTTGGACAATGTGGATATTTGTTATATAATGCTTATACCTGGGTGTTTTTTAGGGTTATCTTGATCATGAATTTCGCGATTGTTACCATTTGATGTTGTCGTCATATTCTATCTTCCCTTTTTGTTGACTAAGGGTTGATCTGGCATTCGAGGGCTAATGTGGCCTAGATATCGTGTTGCGACCTCTGCCAAGCTAGGCCTCTACCAAGGTCAGGAGGTATCGGCTCTATTTACGCGGCCGAGGTAGTCGACTTGGCTAGGTTGGTACACTAGCCCCCCGAGCTCTGAATGCTCAAGCGAACGAAAGAGTCTCTTGGGTATCTTCCTGAAAAGTCGTGACCTTGAATGTTGTGCGCTTCTGACATTTAAGTCACATCCCTTGGTTTTCAAAATGTGTCCTTTCATGACGAAAGTCGGGGCCTTTTAATGATTGCTCGAGGCCATTAATGATGGGTTACAGCTCGCTATTATGAGGCTTATTTAAGAGGGTCGCACTTCCGACAATTTTTGTCGCGTAGTGGCTTCTTAATATTGTCGTTTCTCATTCTTCCCCTTCACTTATTCTTTTCCTTAACTACCTTCATCCACGCTCTCGTGCTCTCTATGTCTTTGTAGGGGTGCTTAATACCTTCCCTATACGTAATCGACTCCCGAATCCAATTCTGGTTATCAAGGCCATTATAGGACTTTTAAAAATCTTTTCTTTTTCCAATGTTTTGAGTAAAATATTGGTGGCGACTCCATGAACTTATTTTCAAAACCATTAATTAAGGATTAGTCTGGTGTCCGGGCATTCCTTAATTAATGAGACTTTTAAAAAGATGTCTAAACCATAGGTCGCAAGATCGGAAATTTTCGGGTTGCGACAGATGGCGACTCCACTGAGGACGTTTAAAGAGGGTCAGGCCCATTTAATTGATGAAGTTAATAAAATAAAAATAATAATTTAAATATTTTTTCCCTTTACTTTGTTTATTTGATTTGTTTGGCTTTATTATCTGTATGCTTGTTTAAATTTCGCACATGTTTGAATTAACAAATTGCACACAAACCATAGCACACAACAGTCCCCCTACACCCGGGGGCATGAGGGTATTAAACATAGGGAGTGGTTGACGTACGACTGGCCCAAGTTTGGCCTTGGAGCATGCGAGCCTTGTCGGAAATCACACTCAAGGTGGTAACCAATTACTCTAGCCTGAAATACTGCGACAAACCTTAGAGTTTGTCAGGTGACGGCGACAGAGATACTGGGTCCCTATAATGGGGGCACCTTGGAGGCCTTAAGACCAAAGTAAGGATAATTAGAACCGCTATATACAATGCACTTTTCTTAACAGGGACCAGAGACCATGAATGTATACGCGACTGTTTTTGGATTGTATGAGCATATGTTTGTTGCATTTTGTCTATTCAAATCATTCATTTATTTTTTATAATTCCCCTAAGGTAAAGAAAAATACAAAAAAATTAAAAATGCATTATCATGTGAGAGAAAACCTAGTGTGAAAATAAGATTTGTGAGAAGCATACATTCCTTCTTTTAAAAAAAAGGGGGGGCATCATGCATTTTCTACAAAATAAAAAATATAATAAATAAAAGGATAATAAAAAAGAAAAAAAAAAGGGGAACATGCATATCATATATTTAGGATCACAAGGGGATTTGTATCAAAAGACGAGAAATCAGTGTGACCTCTGTCACATCATAAAATATTATGAAGAGGAACACCGATAACTCACCTTTCGACAAGGATGAGCCATCAAGTCTTTGATAGAAACTCCCTTCATGCATTACCATTTAAATAAGCTTGATAGGAAACTATCTTTTTCCCTTAAAGGTGTCTTTTCAACATTCCATACTCACACGAGCTCAAAAGATAAAAGCTATGGAAGGCCTAGAGGAAAGAAAGCGTGTCCTCAATGAGGAGCTTGAACAGCTCAAGGAACAAATGGCTAGAATGGTTGAGGCCATGAACAAATTGCAGCACGACAATAGTACTAGCAACGTCGGTGAATTTTCCAAAGATCATCTAAACGCCTGGAAAGAAAGACTGAAAGCTGTGGAAGGCCACAGTTTTGACGTTCAAGAGGCTGCGGATATGTGCTTGGTGCAGGATATCCAATTCCTCGCCAAGTTCAAAATCTCTGACTTCCAAAAGTACACCGGAGTCAATTGTCCAAAAGGACATCTAACAATGTACTGTAAGAAGATGGCAGCCTATGTGAGCAATGAAAAGCTCCTGATACATTGTTTTCAGGAAAGCCTTTCAAATGTTGCTCTCAACTGGTACATGCAGCTGGATAGAAGGAAGATCCAGACATGGAAATAGTTAGCTGATGCCTTTCTTTGTCGGTACAAGTACAACATCGACCTAATTCCTGATAGGTCTGATTTGCAAAGCTTGAGCAAGAAGGGCGACGAGTCCTTCAAAACCCATGCACAGAGATAGAGAGAAATGGCTGTGCAAGTAGAGCCTTCCTTATCTGATAAGGAGATGGTGACAATGTTCATCAATTCCTTAAGTGGACCCTATTATGACAAGATGATAGGGAACACTTCGACTCTCTTTACCGACATAGTCACTATCGGGGAAAGAGGCGAGCAAGGGCTAAAAAGAGGGAAGATAGGAAAAACCCCTGAAAGTCAAGGGTATAAGAAGATTTTTGGGGTAAATGAAATCAATGTTCTAACCTCTTCCGCTACTCCTCGAACAACCAAAGCATCACGAAAAGCGAAAAGAGAACTAGACAAAATTCCTATAAGCTACACAGAGTTATTTTCCCAATTGATGAAGGCATCCATGCTGGTAAGAATCCCACCACAAAGAAAGCAACAACCGCCTTACCCGCTATGGTATAGGCTAGAGGAAACGTGCGATTATCACGCTGGGGCAGTAGGCCACTCTATAGAAAATTGCAAGGCTTCGAAATCTCGTGTACAAGAGCTTATTGACGCCGGGTAGCTCAAGTTTGAGGCCAACACAACAAACATCAAGGAATGACTAGATGAGTAACCATCTTGGAACGACAGTTGTTAGGGGCTCTCTTTTTTCCAAAAAAAAATATATTTGCTCAAACTCATAACCTTCGCCCACGGTCACGAGTTCAAAATAAGGGTTTGTACGAGTTTTTTTGCATTCATCAAATAATATACGTCATTTCATAAATCTCTTGTGATTATTCTTTTCTCTCTTGTGTCACACATTTAATTCCAAAATCAATCACCATAAAAAATAAAAAATAAAAAAATAAACATGACCGAAGATAATAAAATTAATCAAAGCTTCGAACATTTACAACGCATTATCTGAGTCTAAGGTAGATAAGAAGATCACCTCCTCGAAACACACAAAAATAAGAAAGTGATCAGGAGAGTCTTACACAAGATTCTCATTGCATAAGAAGAGTCTTGAAAAAAAAAAAACTTTCGCTCAATTTGGCCAACAAAGGAAGCACAAATCTCGGCTCATGGAAGAACTCTCTCTCAACACCCGTAGGTTGGGGCAACACCTTTCTCCTTGGTGTACGGGGATGGGGGGCTTTGTTAATCATCAAAGATGCTGGTCCTCCCAAACGCGGATGGAAGGAGATTTTGTCAAAGGAAAGAAGTGTTATGCCAAAAAATAATATCACTTGCAAAATACTGCTAAGATAAAAACCTGCAAAGGGCATCTTAGGCAAAAAAAATTGAAAGTTCTCGCTAGGACACGTCCTAGGCAAAAATTAGGGATCTAAAAATCATAAAAAATAGCAAGTGATGATTCTCATAGTTAAAAGCTAAAAGGCGGCTTGAACACTTCTACAAGGGGCCAAATTCTGCGAAGACTCTACCTGAGACTCGGATATGTAGTTCAAGATAATTAGGAGAATGATTATAATAATTATCCAAGGAAATGTTTGTTTAAAAACTTAAACACTCACCTACCTCAA